TCGCTGTTAATTTTCACGATGGGGTCTGTGGGGTAACGTTGTGAATGCGTGTGCAGTTTTGACACAATTTTCAGTCTCTTCTTCTCTGTCTCTCCTTCCTGTCATCCCTTTCCTTTGCTTTTCTCCTGGAGCATTTGTTGTGCTGCCTGGTTCCAGCATGTTAAACTTTGTTTATGCCCTAAACAACCTTTGCTTTGCAGAGACCAGATGGCTTCCTCCATGGCTATGACAAACTCTGCTGCCCCTGTAGTGGTGTAAGATAAAGCTGCTGCTCAAAAGAGCAAGCAGTGGTGCTGCTCTTAACTGGGAAGGTGGAATTGTGGCAATATCAGGGCACCCACCTGCAGAGCAGGAAGATGCTAAAACCAGTCCTCAGATTGCACGGGGGAATGAGGGAGGTGGAGAGAAGGTCCTGCTGGGTGGGAGCTGTCGGAGGCAGCTATCGCTGCAGTGTCACATAGGCTGTCATGTTCACAGCACACTCATTTCCTCAACAGATTGTGCCCAAGGTTATGGTAGGTTGGGAGAAGAGAAAGTGGCCAAGGCTGAAGGAGAACAGTTACAAAGGGCACGAAGGGAACAGACACACCACGCATTGCTGCGGAGATCTGTCACAGATCTAATTTCAGCTCTTGCCATTACAGCTCTCAGATGTTTCTAACAGTTTTCCAGAAACGTTTGGTGAAAGCTCAGGCATTTTTAAAAGACTTCTGTGACCATCTGTACATCTGTTGCTGGGGCTGGTTAAAAAACTTAATGGGCTGGAAAGGCTTCCTGGGAAATGAAAATGATGTAGGAAATGGATTCAGGTGGCAGTGGAGGCATCTGCAATCCATTGACAGCTGCAGCAGTATCGATAAGAAATGAAGGAGGGCTTTGAAATGACATCTTGGCCTTCCACAAGCTCTGATCCCAGATCTTTGGCTCTGCTGGAGCCATCCTCTGGTCCCTAACCGTGCTTTTACAGACCCTGTGTCTCTGAGTTGTTTGTGGGGAAAGGAAGCTCCAGATGTCCCGCTTTGGTGCGCTAGGGGCTGGGCTTTGTCACACCTAGGGGAATAATTGTGCTTGTTTCTAAGGCCAGGAGCAGAAGGTGCTCTCTGGCTTGAGTTTTAGTTTTGGCTTAAGTTAACACAGCAGACAAGATCGATGTACGCTCTCTCAGCATAGCATGATCCTCTCATCCCTGCCAGAGAATGGCCACAGCACGGGTAGTTGCCAGACAAACACGAGCATGGGCTGAAGTGACAGCTCGTAGGAGAGCGGTACAAGTGCCACCCCTGTGCCTTTTAGCTCCTGGTCTCTCAGCTCGGCCTGCCCTGCTTGAAGAGCTCATGCTGAGCACGGTTTGCGACGTCTCTTCTCACAATGGAAATCATATCTGAGGGCCACCTGGACTTTTGGTACCATGCTCCCTGCAGCCAGACTGTGTCCCATAAGCAGCTGGCCTTTTGGTAAAAAGAATCAGCCCCACTTTTGGCCTTCTGTTGTGCTGGAGTTTTATGTGAAGCCAAGGTCTGTGTTGCCTTTAAGAAATATGCATTTGTTGTTGTCATTTGTTAGTGCTGTTCTTGAAGGGACAAAGTAGGGGCAAGGGGTGTCTACCTGGCTAAAGAGAGAGAAAATAAAGCATTACAATGAAAGCTCTCTGCAAAGCTTTTAAGCTGTGAAGAATTTGCCTGGCATCCAGGCTGGCTAACTCTCCTTTTTTTTGTTCTTTATCATTAGGCTTCCTTGAACTTTAACTGAACCATAAGGAAACTATGAAGAGTCTCAATAGCTGCCCTGTGAGGATTTGACTTACCCATTGGATCTGCTATTTATAGTGTCCATTAGTACAAAAATGTCTGTCCTTTTGCAGCAGTCATGTATAGCAAAAACACTGCTGTTCTGGTGAACTGCCTGTGCCTCCTGTGTCACCCAAAATATCCATCAACAGAGTGCTCAAAGTGAGCCTTTCTTGATTTTAAAATAGAAAAAAAGGATAACAACCCTGAGGACATTTTTATTTATGTATTTTCATAGTCTGAAATTACCATTTTTCAGGAGGCACCGTTTTACCTCCAGCTGCATCTCCCTGTTCAGCATAATGTGTGTCCCAGGCAAATTAAATCAGGAAGAGAGCTGAGGGGGCAGAAGCTGTCTTTACAGCCTTGGAGAGCCCATCTGCACCCCAGAATCAGGCTGTGTGTAAACAAGTATAAACTTGTAACAAACAAAATCATTTGTTGTATAGATTTGTCCTACCTTGCTGGGAAGAAGCTTGTGGTAGTTTGGGTGGCAGAGACTAAGTGGGTTTCCTCTGGATATACTCCAAGCTACTCAATATGGTAAAAGTTTCAATATTCTGTTTCTGAAAAATTAATTGAAGCCTTTTCTTGTAATTTTCTTGTGCAAATAAGCTTAAAAATTGATTTTCTGAAGTCTTCCCAATTGTATCAGTGCAGACTTGATGGTGTTACTTCTGTTGGTGTCATGGTTTATAGGTTGGTGTGGAAGTTTGGACAGAAGGGTCACATTGCATGAGTGCGGTGTCATCAGCACGGGGTCTTCCAGAGCCACAGTGTTCCCTGCAAAGCTCTGTGTCCTTCTCCATGCTTATCAGAGCTGTCAGGGCAGTGTTCCTCCATATTCTCAAATGAACAGAATCTGAGCACGAAAACGCTGCGTGTTGAAGGTTGCTTTTTGCAAGAAAGACTGACTTCCTACCTGCATTCCTTGTCCTGCCATGCAAGGTGCTGCAGCTCGGGCTGTGAGGTGCAGTGTGGAACCTCTCTCCACGTGTCTCTGGAGAGAGGGAATGCCAGTCTGGAGAATTCATCTTCCTACTTGTTTCCTGTACTGTTGTGCAGCCTGTGTGTGCCTCACAGCACAGGGAATTGTCAGGACCTGTAAGGATTTCCAGGCACTGTTTGTGTCCAGTCCACTGCTGCACACCATGTAACCATCTGGGAGGGTTTGTGAAGCATCATCTCTTCCCTGTTCCTCACTGTGGGGTACAGAGGAACACATCCAGCATCCAGCAAGCGTGGAAGTGGGAAAAACTCCAAAATGAGATACAGGAGCCTAAAATGCGACTGGGAAGACTGATGGGTTTTTAATCAGCGTTGCTCTTTGGTCCATATGACTGGAGCCACATGCATGAGTTGCTTATGGGGCTTGGTCTCATTTACATAACAAAGTGGAGTTTCACATAATGCACTGAGGGCGTGTTGTTGACTAGAGGGACAGAGAAGCAGAGCTGCCACACCTGGCCTCCTGCTGATACAGGAATCTGTATCACGTAGTTTCTTTCATAAATATATTGATCTCCATCTCAAAGCCAGATGAAGTTTTTCCTTCTGTGGGGAAGACTGCCAAAGCATCATGCAAAACGTCTTCTGATTTCAGGTCTGATTTCTCCTCGATCATTTATCTAGTCAGTTTATCCTTGGTTTTCCTCATCCATTCTTGGATGAGCAGTTTTTAAAAATCAGCTTATTTTTCATTGCTTGGTGGTGGTTCTGACACATTCATCCATCAGCTCTTGGTATTGGCTGCAGCCAATGATGCTGTGTTGTAGTCCCTGCCCTCCTGGCAACCAGTCAAGAGGGAAGTGAATGGTAGGATATAAATACCAACAATTATGAAGGATCTTTGCCAGTGGGTTGTTTTTTTAATATCTCATTACATACTCAGTTTGTTCAAAAGGGAGATTAACGGAGCGTTTTGTTTTTAGATGAGCATGACCGTGAAAGTGGAGTAACTTGCATCTATGTTTCTTGGGGAAAAAAGTTGGTTTTTCTGAAGCACAAATGAAGAAAAATAACTTTGCGTTAAAAACACTGTGCAATTCTGCCAGAGTGAGATGAAGCCACTATTAATCTAATGGACAGCATCCCTTGTTAGCTCTCTTGTTAGGGTGGTTGCCGTAAAGTTGCAAGTAGGGCATTGATTTAAATATAATTCCCCTTCCCTTGCCTGGAGGGAGCGGTAATGGATGAGCAGAGAGCTTTTATTTCTGCTCCCAGGGATGGTGTTTAATGGGGGCTCTGCGAGTGCACAACGTTCCATCTGCAGTGGGGTGGAGCAGTGCTGAGCGATTCCTCGCTGGAATCCTCGCGATGGAGGCTTCCACTGGACACACTGCACAGTGCTGGTCATGGGGAAAGCAAAGCGCAGACTGTGGGGCACCCACCTCTATGGAGCATGCTGCAGCCCCAGCGACTCTCCTGGTGCTCCTCTTCCTTGCCCGAGCACCAGCAGCAGCTGGGAGCAAACCAGTATCCCAGACCAGGGCCTGCGAGTCCGTCCTGCACCATGGATGTTATCTTCTGCAGTCCACTTGTGTGGTATTCAGCGCTACTGGTTAATTAAAACTTCATGTTGCATTCTTAAAAGGGATGAGGAGCCCAAAATACACGTTTAAATCATATTGAAATATTTGTCTCTTCTATTTCAAGTCCCTCATTAGCATATCCTTAGATGTGTAAGTGCCTTTAATGCATATTAACTGTGTGCTGATGGAGTGGAAACATCTGAAGTACAAGTAAGAATACAGCTAACTCCATACATAAAACGTCATGAAATCCAGTTACTGAAGTGATTGTGCTACCATGGCTTGCAAAACAGTATATAAGGAAAAAAAAAATAAAATTTGCAAGACATTTTATAAATGATCATTGTAAAATGTTGCTGTTGTTGCACATTGTCCCTAACAGACCAAAGAAAGAACGTTTCATAGTGCTGCTTTGTGTATCTTTCTGCAAAGGCTGGAATCCTGGTCTTTATAAACACTCAGCATTTTCCACGGAGGTCTTTTGAATATCTTGTCCTTCTATTTCATTTTTAATGATTTGCTTTTATTTCAGGAAAAGATTACCTTCTAGAAAATGCTTTAAGTCAGTCTCCATTTTTTAATATGCTGTTTAATCTTTACAATTTTTGAGAAATCCTTCTCATTATTGTGCTTTTCTTTGTGTTTTTTTTTTTTTTTTTCCTCTTTTTTCCTGCTGCCACAGAAGAAGTGTCTGCAAGGATAGTGCAAGTAGTAACAGCTGAAGCTGTAGCAGTCCTGAAAGGTGAACAGGAAAAAGAAGCCCAGCACAAAGATCAGCCTGGACCACTACCTATAGGTAAAACAAGATGAAGAATGCTCAGAGTATCCTTGCATCTGCAAACATTATATATACATATATTAAAAAGAAACCCAAACAGTTTGTATTCAACAGCACAGTGTGTATTCATGTAGGTCATAGTCATGGGTGAGCTGCGGCACCATGCGATACTGTCACCCTTACTGCCTCAGTTCTTCATTCCTCTTTGGCAGTCTCATTCACTGTGCCCACAAGAGCATCTTTCCACCTATCTGTTGAGCAGTGCAGCTGTGACTAGAGTTGGTGGAGGTGGTTTTGTGTGGTGGACCAAGCAGCACCGAGAGCCCTTTATGTTCAGCTGTTGGAGAGGAAGCTTCATGTCTGAAGAGACAAAGATTAGGTGAGGGGCATATAAAAAGAATGAGATTTTATTGGTTGACGGCAGCTACTCCAGAATATGGAAGATGAGCTTCTTGGCAAGACACAGAGAGGAATAGGGGACCCAGGGTGGGAGTGGGAGAGGAGACAGCAGTCGTGAGTGTGAGGCAGACGGAGGGACACCAGGTGGAAGCAAGTGCAGTGCTCCAGACTGGGGGTTGTCCGAAATGCAGCTGTATGTATATTGAGGTAACTATACAGCCATTTGTGGGTACAGTGCTTCCTCACTGCCAGAAAACTTCCACAGTTGCCCAGAGCATGTACACAAACACCAGAGAAAGACCAAATGCTGTCCTGAAGTGATGAATGTCTTACAAGCCTGTCCCCAGGATTAGTCTTGCTGAGAGTGTGTATGTTGTGATCAAATCAAAATAACACTTCATGGTATTTTTCCCACAGGCATTCCACTTGGTACAGTGGCTGGACCCTGCCTAGGAATGAATTAAAGTCAATGAGTAATTAAAAGAATTAGTTGTAAATTTGATCCCTAGGTGTTTTGCTTCATTGGATTAATTTTGAGCTGCAGGTTCAGCAGAGAGATGTGTGCCTCAGTAACTCCCTTATTTGCAGAGAGTGAATATTACCTGAAAGACCCCGATTCCACAAAACACTTCATACATATTTAAGGACACAATGCTTCACTGGGGCCTTTGTGAGTCAAAACGAGTATTCAGTTACATGAGGTGAGGTAGAACACTTCAAACATGCTAAGGAGTGCTTCCTCAGTTAGCACATACTGGTGTTACAGTTCCTGTGATCAATCAGTATTACATAAATTCAGCTACAAAGGGCCTGTAGTGAAGATAGAAATACTCTGTCCCTGGACAAGCAAATCTGACGGGCAACTCACATAGGGCTTTCTTCCAAACTACATTGGCCTCAGGGGAAAGAAGGCCAGGAAAATTCTTCTGGGGCTTTGAAAGTGACCCTTCTATCCTTGTAAGGAGTCATGAACTGAGAGCTGGTTGTTGGGACTTGCCGTTTATATAACACAGATCTGTTAACGGAATCGTTACTTTTTTCTTCTTTTCTTCTTCTCCTTCAAAATGTGGCTCAAGTCACAATGGAGGCTTTGGTTTAAAAAAAAAAATGAATCTCAAAATGATTAGTATGAAATCAGATGCAGAAATTATGTTGAATTCATTTAAGCAGCAGCTTGTTCAGGATTTTATCATACTTCTATTGAAATTAATGAAAAAACATCATCTGGTTTCAGCATGCAGACTCGTGACTGGAAATGAATTGAAACATAACCTAAGTGAAGCTTTGATTTCACAGCATCTCACTCAGCTCAATTGTTAACAGGTCATAGCTGACATAAGTTCTCTGTGCTGATGTCTTTTGTATTAAGACAAAGAGTATTTGCATACATTCTGTAATTAACTTTGAACTCAGTAGAAGCAAAATAAAAAGATGGTTGTAAAGTGTTTTGTGTTCACATACTCAAGGTAAACTGAGAAGATTGGATGCCAGTTTCTCGCTGTTACAGTTAGCCTGAATTCGTAAAATCTCTCCTCCGCGGATGCTTTATTGTTGTTGCCTTGAGTGACTGAGGGCTAAGTGCCTGATCTGACAGATAATTTCATACTTCATTTTTTGTATGGTACTCTTTGACTAGAATTTTGAAAATAATGCATTCCATCTAAGAAACCAAATCTTTTTAATATAGCTTTACAACCCAGAGTTCTGAAAGGTTCTCCTGCAGATCCCTGGCATGCAGGTCCCCATCCGCTAGTTCTCTCAGCTGGGCAGCGCAGGCTGACTGCAGCCTGCATCAAGCATTGGTCTCCTGGGAATTAATTGCTGTATCTTGTTTCCATTGTTTGATTTCCAGCAGTCGAAGAGTCAGCCAACCTGCCTCCTTCCCCACCTCCATCGCCAGCTTCTGAGCAGACTGGAGCTCTGGAGGAAGGTAAGGGTCTCTTGAACAGCACACGGCTGCCAGAGGAGGGATGAGACATGAATCTAAAGCAAGGGGAAATCAGAAAATGGAGATACCTCCTTCAGCTTCATGTGGAAAGATAAGGCATTCCCCAGCAGTAACTCCCCATCTGCAAACCAACTGCAGTGCATGGATGAGGTAGCCCCATATGCACAGACGTAACTGACAGGATATGTTAAGTACATCCATATTGAAGAAGAAAAGGTGGTGATGCTAACTAACCCTTTAATCTGTCACATGTAATATCAGCTGAGATGTCTGCTATCCCAGTTTGGTCACCAAAACTCAGTCAGTATGGGTAATTCATGTTTTCCTAGGATTCTTTTGTCTGGATTCTGTGTTGTTTTGCTTTTAATCACCTTTAGCTTTGTATTTGGAATCTTAAATGCATGAAAGTAAGGAGGTTGAGCGTTGGATTGTTTTTCTGATCTTCAACCTGTAATTCCTGCTTCAATGTCTGCATGCAGTGGGGTTTGTACGCATCGTGCAGGAGTGAAATTCTAGTCTCATAAAGAACATTTCTGTTATCTGCACAATGAATATTCAGTCTCCATAGCCCATGATCTCTGCTTTTCCCTCCTGCTAAAATCCCCTCATCAAAGAGATCAAGCATTCACTTAATGTTTAAGTAGAAGTCTAAATCCCAGTGAAGTTGTCACTGTGGTAAGCGTGTATGTCAGTGGTTTCTTCAACAGAAAAAGAGTGCTGCATCAAGGTCATCAGTAGAGAGAGAAGGCAGTATACCAAAACTGAGCCATATCACGTAGATACAAGGAAAGAATTTGGGTTCAGAATCTCTAGGGGACTGTCAGCTGAACTCTCCATTGTGAACGGTGTTTTTGTGTGTCCATTTATTTAGCCCTTATTTTTTTTTTCCCCCCAGCTTTTTTTTTTCCCTAGTAAATGTATGAAAGTAATTTCTTGTCATCTGCTGAACGAACTAGGTTAGTATTTTAACAGAGACTCTATTAACTTTGGAAGTGGATAGCTCCTACTGCATGTGCTAACATAGTTTATCGAGACATTGCAGTTAGGCATGTTCATTCCTCCAGTCCTTTCTGAGATGATGCAGTTATAGCTTGTGTTAACAACAACATGGGGCAGTCCACTGTACTGGAAATACATCATGGATATGTGGTCAGTAACCAATATGTAAAATCTGATTCACTGGGTGGTAGTTTTGTTGTGTTGGCTGTGTGTGTGTGTGTATTTTGAAAAACTGGTACACGAGTTCTCATCATCAAAATGACTGACTGGGAAGGAAGCTAGTAGAGTGTTAGCAAGGCTTTTATAGTTGTTAACCAGGTTTTCACCACTTTTTTTCTTTTTTTTTTATAGAGTTCATGTGAGTAGTTTTCCATATGCTTTTTGATTTTTCACGTCACAATAAAGGCCCTGACCTACTTGAGGCAAATGTCAGCGCTCTTCCATTACTTCATTTAGGGTTAGCTTTATGTATTATTTCTATTCATTATGTTATTTGCATGTATTGTAGGGTTTTATAAAGCAGTCACATTGATGATTGTCAGAAGATTAAAAATTGTCCCCTAAGGAGATGGACACCATCTTGCAAGTTGTACTAGCAGAAGGTGGCTAAATGTAGCCCGTGCTACATAGCACAATGGCATTATGGACTACTGGGCAGTGCTGTTCAGAGCTGGGCGTGTGTCTCAGGACGTCATTCAATATCACTGTTCTTCTTCTTCCTGCACGTACGATTGAGTTAATCAGTACATTACAACATTACAACAGTAGCACTGCTGTTGCTTTTTCCCCAGGTGTGAACATTGTCCATTTTCAGTGTAGTAGTGGGCTCGAAAGGAAATACAACATTTTGTGTTCTGCTTTATGTTGGAAGTTGTGGTTCTCATTTTCTGTGGGTCAGTTGAGTTTTGCTGACCTAGGGGAGCCAGTTCTGTCATTCTGATTCAGGCAAAGCTCCCAGTTGGAAGAGTTTACCTCAGTAGGTTTTGACCCAGTTTGTACTGTACTTGTTTGAACCTTTGGCTCCCTGTACCACCAGGCTCTCCATCCCCTGCACCTTTACGTTGTCTGTCTTTCTACTCAGAAGAATACATTTATACATTTATTCAGTTCTAAAGCTGTTGAAGAAGAAAAAGGCGAGTATTTGGTATGTGTGTCTGACTCAGGCTTCCTTTTTTTCTGTTTTCTCAAAACGTTTTCCTAGCGCACTTGTCAGTGTGTGTTGCATTGCTCTGAATTCAGAAGAGGCTTCCTTCAGTCATAGTAGACTGAAATCACTGTTGTAGACATGACAAAGGTGGATGTGGCCAGCCATGCAGCAAATACAAATTATTAAAAAAAAAAAAAAGGTAGAAAAGACAAAGAGGTTTGTGGGTCAAGTGTATTTCATGAGAGAAGGGAGTCAGTGGATGTAGGTTTCTTCCTTTCGTTTGGCTGCAAAAAACCATTTCGATGAGCCTGTCCCTTTTTACTGCTGCACAAGGTAAGATAACTAATGTGCCCTATTGACACTGTTTCATTTATTTTACCTACTGTAACATATTTTTGCTCAGGAAATTAAATTTTCACTGTCTGATCCTTTCATCAGTTGTATCTGGTCATGCAGGACTGATGCAGTGTTCTCTTGCCAACCTGGCATTTCTTTTGTGCTCTGTGCCTTTTGACAATGGTCTGCAGTATCTTCGTGTAAAAATTCTTCTAAATGTTACAAGATAGCAGCATGCCTTGAGGGACTCCCTTCCATTTAGAAATAAGCATTTCAGGATATGCATTATATATCAAATGAGAATATTTTCCAAACTGAAAGTAACTGTATGTCCTATAAAAAAGGATCTATATGCAGTAATAATTATCTAATGAAGGGCATTCTTGAAATATACCTGCAAGCTAAAGCTGAATTAGCTTTTGTGAGAAGTGATTTTTATCTTGGACTTCAGAAAAATGTGGGAATTCTTCCTGTGCTTTAGATGAAAACTATTAGAAGGGACTAAAATCGCAAAGGAGGTTTTTTTGTTGCATAAATACAAACATATTTCTCTTCAAAGATTTCATCGTCATGTTAGTGAAATTTTCTGCATTAAGTTCAAAAATAACAAAACTGAAAAAAAAGATGTAAATCTGTGATAACCACAGACATAATGGTTCCAATTAGACTTTGCAATGATTTTGGCCCTTCACAGTAGTATGTATTTGAGCATTTGTAATGTTGTCAGTCCTGCTGTGCTAAAAAGCAGAAGCAGACCTATGCTTTTTTGACCTCCTTTCATGCAGAGCCCATGAAGAAACAACTTCCACCTTTGTTCACATCAGTCTAGAACAATCAGAGTTTCATTTTCACTCCTGTTGGTGCATTTTACATCCAAAGGGTCCGTATTTAAAATAGGATCCACAGCCAGAAGGAGAACGTCCACTTTTCTCATTGCACTTTCCATCTCTGTAGTGCACCACCTCCTCCTTTGTGCATGTCCTCCCTCCCTGTTGCGTTCTGGCCACGAGAACCTTCTGTTCTCTTCTCCACAATACCCTGGTTCCAGCAAATAGATAGCAAGTGCATCACACCCCTTGCTGCTCTTGTCCACAGTGATAAACAAAAACTAGTGTGAGGACATCTGCACAGCACTAGAACTTGCAGTCTTGAATGTTCTCAGGAGAGAGTTGGCTCCTGGGCTGTCACGTGCTGTGACATTTCTTCATCCTCTGAAACTTATCTTTTGGAAACAGCGAGCCCCTTCAGATCTGTCACTGCATTTTGTGGAAGTTTCTATCGAGAAGAAACCCGTGGTTATGCATTGCAGGTGGATCAAGACGAAAAGATGCTTCACTGCAACCTTGTTGCCAGGCCTGAAGTACTAGGGAAAGGTGGGAGGAAGGTTCAGCCCTGCATTTAGCGTCTCTTATTGCAGGGCTCTGCAGTTTCCTGCTCAGCAGAGGCAGGCGGCTGGTACATTTCTCTACACCTTGCTTTTAAGCACACTTGAAGTCCTGAATCTGTGTTTTAGATTACACTATAGGGGTGGAGCATCTAAATTTTCAGTAGTTCAAGGCAATGTTTGTGTCCTGAACAAAATTGTAGGTATGACTCCTATAAAGTTCTTTGGGCATTATTTGTATTTGTGCATAGGTGCACTTAACATACATTCATTTCTGGTCAGACCAGCTCAGGGCTGTCACAGACTCTGACATAAGGATAGTCTTTCTTTTACAGCACAGGAAGACATTTTGGAGCTATTAATATTAAGATTGATGAATAATTTTTCTTTTTTTTTTTTTTTTTGTATGTGGTTTTTTTTTGTTGTTTTTTTTTTGTTGTTTTTGTTTTTCCACTGCTTGAGCCTAATAGGGTTAATATTACAGCATCCTTTTCTGGGGCAGAAGAAACACTAATCAATACATTAACAAACTCCTGCTGCCATGTTGGGGCAGAAAGCAGAGGATGCTTTTTTTTTTTCTTTATGATACAGCTGTTATCTAGTTATGGTGTGCTAAATAAAGATACTTGAAACTTACTGTTATTTGCCAGGAAGAAGCTTAGAGCTCTTAGTGATGGGATCGGTTTGGTCACAGGGTGTGACCAGATGATAGAGGTGGATAAAAATGGCTTTCTAAAGCCTGGTAGTGGTAGTAACAGCGGCATTCATGAGCCTTTGGGTTGCACACAGAGATCTGGCTAGTACCAGTTATTCTGTCTGTGTTAAAGGGTTGCTTCCTCACTCATTGCTTTCTGTCTGTGAGGAAAGTTTTGGAAGCTCTGGGGATCTTTAAGTTGTAATTGTCTGGAGAAAGATCAGGGTACGCTCAGCATGGACTCTTTCCTGACGCTGCTAGGAAATCCAGTGGGTTAACTGCAGCTGCCACAGGCAACAACAAGTTGCAAAGAAATGGACTTGAGATGTATTTTCTCTCATACTAGAATTCTAGTTTTTCATGGCTCAATTCTTGGTCAGAGCGGACTGTAGCCAGGTCTCCTCTTCAGGTCTGTATGGGTCAGTCATTTTTGTTGCACTGTATTATTTTTGTCCTGGAAGAGCAAACCCAGGCTGTCTCTCCCTGTAGCTGTCAGTAGATGATGTTGTCCTGAACTGATTATGTGATTATCTGTGAAGCTACAGCGGCAGGTAAATAAAGGTGTCATTCTGAAGAACTGGTAAACTCTGAGGTGGGAAGCTTTTTCTCCAACAGAAATGAGCCACAACAGTGTGAAATACAGGACCAACAGAGAGTGCTATGAGCAGCTTTGTGTGGCCTCTTTCAGAAGCAAAAAAAAGCTGGCAATTAGACAAAGGCACTTATGTTTGTTTGTTCATTTTGTTTAACTGTTAATTATAGGAAAAGGAGAGGAGTGAGTACATTTGAAATAGATAAAAAACGACAATTGGTGAAAAGCAAATTAGTTTACACTTACAATTGAAGGACTTACAACAACAAAAAAAAGCACACCTTGATGACTGCCGTTGACACCTGTTGACGAGGAATACAAAAGAATGCAACTGTTGGGATAGTCCAAAAGTTTTTAGAACAGCCAGTGGAAGTTGTGAGATGTGGTTTGTGTGCAGTGTATATTCCTCTAAATAATGAGTGCAGTCTGGAAATTAGTTTACTCCGGCTGTTGGTTCCCAGTGTTCACAGAGCTTGCAGGAAGTGCCACATTCATGGCACGTGTTAAAACACACAGCTGCCCCATCCCTCCATCCTGCATTACTTTGCAGCTTGGCTGATTTCACCCACTCTGCAGTATGACACAGTGGCTAGTGTTGCTGGTGCATGCATCCATCCTGTCTTGCCGTGTTTCTGTCTGTCTGTCCTGCAGTTTTTGTCTGTGTGTCTGTTTGTAGATGCAGGGGCGGAGGATAAGGTGGGACCGCTACCCCTGTGCCCAGGCTGCGGGCCTGCTGCCAGCAGGGAGTGGCATAAAGGCCTGGCCCCCTCCATCTCAGTGTCTGTAGCCGATGATGAGCCCTACAATTCGGATGAGGAGTACTATGAGCACCCTTTGTTCAGCTCAGAGTGGACTGGCTCTTGTACACATCCCAGTGCCACAGTGAAGAGCGCAGAGGTCTTGTTGGGCTATGATGAAGGTGAACTGAGCATGGTCCCATTTTGTTCCTCTTCCCCTCTACCCACCTGCCATCCATTCCATTATATGTGTGCCTGGGATTGCTGCTTTCTGGGGAAGGAAAGTGTCTGACTCCCAAGACTTTCATTCTCAAAGTGAAGCTGCAGTGTGAACATTGAATGCTATTTTGGTGTCAATGGAACCATGCTTAAACCATGTAGGTCTACTGGCCAAGTTGATGGCAGGTGCAAAAAGAGCAGACACTAATTTGTACTTTGTGACAGTGAATCACAGCTAGGAACAGTGTGCAGAGTGGGTTAGAAGGTTGTTACCGAAGTTAAGTCAGCTGAGTTAAACTCATACCTGTACTAGAGTTAGCAGTGGAGGATCTTTAGCTCTTCACTAGACAGAGGAAATCAGTTTTTTTTTCCCCAGTACATAGTGGTGTCTTCAGGCAGTACTGGGTCACGTTTGATCTCTGGCTGTTCTGTGGATGCACCGTCAACACTGTCAGCTGGCTGCAAACAAGGCAGATGTATTAAAAAGTTTGCTATTTGTTTGTTCCTGTACCCCTTCCTTCTGCAGCCTAGGTCCATCAGTAAGTATTATTTTATTTGTGGAGTTTACATAAAATCAACTTTTTAGGAGTCGAGGGAGAATCTTTTTCAGTGTCTAATGAGAATTGTGACTTGTTATCCAAAGCAAACTGGATCATGTTTCATCAGGCAGTATTTGATTAACTTAATCTTGATACACAGGAGGTGAAGTTAAAAGCAGATCTGAATTCTCTGGGGATGTGTGTCTGTGACTGAAATAGCTCAGTGGGGCATTTCAAGAGCAGGAGGCTTGTCCACAGTTAACAGGATAATGTAGCCCAGTAGTGCAGCAGCACCAGAATGAGAGCAATGCAAATAACTGCAGATTGTTATGTCAGGATACCTGCCTGAAGCTGGGAGAGTCAGAAAATCACAGGCGTAGCCTTACTGTGGTTGGGTTTCTGCATTTGTTCTTAAAACATTCCTGCTTTTTAGTTCGTAAGCAGCGTAATTGCCAATCATGCACATCCACATCTAGTGAAATTGTTTGCTGATGCAAACTTTTGATATTGTTAGCATTGTTTACGTATCAGGTTGTTTGCCTCTGCATATACCTGTGCTTATCCATTCTTGAAAACCTTTTCATTTGCAGCTATTGCCAGATCTTTTCCAGCTGCTGCAATGAAGTCTATTTACTTCATGCAAGTTCTTTTTCAGTGGTTCTTTTAAGTATCCCTATTCTCAAAAATTCTGTATGATGAGTTCTAGTAATACTGAGAGAGCCACAGTATTTTCTTTGTGTTAGCGGTGAGGATGGGATTTTTCTTCCCAGATTTTATCCATTTCTGAGCTGTGTGCCCCTATATGTGCTGACTCAGTAAAAGAGGGATCTAATATAGATGATACGATTTGTTCTCTGGGGACTTTGCCACTTTAAAGGAACCTCGGCACTGCTTTGCACCAGAAGCCTAACCTGTAATGTTTCAGTGCTAGATATGCACTATTTTTACCTAATTAAGAAAAGACTTACTGAGTAATTAGTTTTAACACATGGCACTGAGTGAAGTAATTGCCATCAAAATGAGGTAAAGTAACTTCTTTAATTAAAAGGAATGCACACACACAACTACATAAAATTGGAAAAAACAAGCAGTACAGCAAGTTATTTGAGTAAGGGCCTCTATTGTCTGGACACTTGCTGTTCTGCTGGGCTCCTTTCACAATCTGCCATATGTAAATATCCCTCAGGCATTGGTCCAGTTCCAATTTGGAATCTTCTAGCTTCTGTTCACTTAAGATACAGTATCTTTCCCTAACTACATTTTTACGTGTTATTAATAATGTTGCACTTTACGTAGTGGTATTTTCTCAGCCTGAAATTTGTGTTCCTTAAATTACTTTCGAAAGGCCATAACTGAAGTGGGTGGTTGATTGCCTACCTTTAACTGGGTCAGTCTCAGGAGAAAAATCACGCCCCTGTAAAGAGGTTTAATTTTAATGCCAGGAGATTCAGATTCAAAACCACTTTTTTCTAAGCCTGATTCAGCAAAGTCCTTAAACATGGGACTGTACTTAAAACCCAGAGTGGTTATTAGGTGTATTTGAGTTTGGCTGGTGGTCAGCTGCTTACAAATTTTGCTGAATCGAAGGATTCACACTGAATCCTAATTTCCTATTGGAAGAGATAGTAGCAGAGCAAAGTAATATTCTGTCTGAACAGCAGTGGCAAGATAGAAGGGAGACTTTCTTCCATGGCAAGAGTAGAACGAAGACCATTCTTGGTACTAGTCTACTGATTCTAGCAACCTGTAGGCAAAGTAATGTATTTCAAAACTTCAGAGGAACGTGGTGTTCATCGGTTTCTTTGGCTTAACTGGTGATGAGGAGAGGAGCCTAGAGGCTAGTGAGGGAGACAGAAAAGCAAATGAAGAGTCCTTGTGTTACACCTGTGGTCTTCACAACTGGGGTTCAGATCTCAGGCAGCCCAAGGGCGAAGCAGTTCACAAAGCACTCGGTGTAAGAATCTTGGCTGGACTCTGGTGAAATCATTAGTTCCCAGCTATGTGCAAGGCTTATTAAGACTGTTCAAGTGGTTGAATGCTTTGCCAAAACCAGGACCCATGTAATTGGCAGACTTGCTGTCATTTAGCAGACAGTAACAGCAAGGGGAAATAAATTAACAACTCATACCTTACCCCACCTCAATTCAATGTCTCGTACTGGGTTAAACAGCACATCTATCAAAAGTGCACTGATGTTCTCAGAGCCATCCATCGTTCAATATCATCTCCATTTCCAATGAACATTTGACTCACAGTCATCTTTGGGAGAGGTGTACCTATAAAGCACTTTCAGCTCTCATCTTCCAGCATAAACGTGCTTCTCTGGGGGAGACAAGGTGTTTTGGGGTTTGTTCGGTATTTTTTCTTTGGGAAAAATCAATTCTATTGCAATTAAAATGGGCTGGATTCTAGCAAACCCTAGAAATCTGAAATGTTCAGAGCTGAAAGTGTTAAGAAAACCAGTCGTGTTGAGCTTTGTGCTTGGTGTTTACTGTTGGTGTTGATGTCGCCTCCTTTTTCCATCTCCAAGAAGAAGAACCAGTAGAGAGTCGGATGGCTGTGGAAGTGAAACCTGCTGCTCTTCCTGGGACGCAACTGGGGAAAGAGCATGGGCCCCCTGAGCCTTCAGAGCAGGCCAAGGGCCTTGGTGAGGGTCGGCCGGATTTTGGTTTGGAGGCCACAGTGTGTCACGAAGACAAAATACCAAGTGTGGCATCCAGCAGGGAGAGCCTAACAGCTGTGGGGGAAATGCCTCTGAAAGACACATCCCCTTCCTTGGCTGCGGAAGGTGTGTCCTCAGTAGGATTGCATGTGTTTGCTGCCAGTGAATCTTCCAGCTTTCTCCAGTGCTTTTCAAGGCTGCTTCATTTCCTGTTCTTTCCATTTATTAGTATGACTGCTCTTGTTATTATGCTTGAAGAGTGTGTAGCAGATACTATGGTTGCATAGGTGCTGTATGACAACATGGTTTCCCGCTGCTGCAGCTGATTCCTTTTTTTTCTTTTTACCTGCCATGATACAAGTGCTTTGCAGCTAAGCCGATTGCTCTGCGCAAGCCTTTTGCCCCCCATCTCAGACATGTTTGCCAGTCACATTGCTAATGTTTGTATATTTTTTTTTCTTTTTGGTGCGGAGATTCATCTGCTTTTCTTTCAGAAAGTAGATTTAATGAATTTAACTGTGACATAAAGAGGCTTGAACTGTAGAAATGTTTTCATTTGCAGCGTGCAGTATATTTCTGTGTGTGTGCTTCTGTGCATTCTGGTTTAGCTTCCCTAAAGCTATTGCTTCTTATGTCATATCCTTGCCATTCATTGCAGCCCACCCCTTCTCCCTGGATCATTGCAAAAACTCTGGGTTTTTTTGCGTGTCTTACCTTATTACAAAGATTTAACCTGACCGGAGTGCCCTGCTCAGACAAAGCCCCATCAACTGCACTGAGATATTCACCTTCTTCATGAAGTTTAGGATGGGGTGTAAAGCATCAAGTTCTGATCTGCTTACTGTGACAAAGTATTTACTCCAAGCAATTGTCTTTCAGTACACGAGAACTAGGCTTCAAGATTGTCCTTTTCATGGCATTTCTCGTCGGTCAGCATAACAAGGTGTAAAGACACATTGCATGGAGTAGTGATATAGCCATCCATTCAGTACCTGGTGAAGAAGGGCTGCATCTGGGAAGCTGGCTTTCCATCAGACCCACCTCAAGAAAATTAAATTCCCTTGGCAGTCAGAATATCTTTAGATGCCATTGGTGTTGTACATTGGTGCTAGAGTAAAAGGCACGATAGGATACGCAAGAAAAGTCAGTATCTAGTTAAGCCATGTCTGTGAAAGAAGGATGACATCTGCTCAGTGGCTTTGTTTTTATACTTCATGGGGCCTGCAAGTCATGAAATGTAAAAACACAAAGGATTAAAAAGTATTGGAGGTGTAGAATTCTGTTTTCTTTCTACCTGCAGAATGTAGAATGGCAGTAGCTTTTTTAACTTTGCATGCAAATATTTAAAGAATGACCTGTAGTTTGATAGTAGTTATTCTGACAAATTCATATTCACCTGAGTCAGAAAATGGCTCCATGGGCTTTAAATCAGATGTAAGGAGATTCAGATTTGGCCCAATGCTTGTTGTAATAAGTTTTAGAAAGAAAAACTTGTAAATGCTTATTTACAGACTAATGCAGAAAGTATTCTGCTGTATTTCTTTTCCCCATATGATAGGAATCATCATTTTCCAAAGGATATTAAAAAAAAAAGGTATTAATGATTAATAGAGTATATATAAAAATAACTAGGTAGTATTCCATACAAATATAGTGACATGTTGTAAGTGTAGTATTTTCAGTTTTAAATCAACTTAATTAGGGCTGTGCTGCAGTCATTGAAACATGGCTGGTATTCAGTTACAGCTGAAGATGACTGGCCATGCTGGAGACCTCTGAGTCTAGCACTGTTCATAGCTCTGCTGCCCATTTACACTTTCATGGCAGCAGTGAGATTTTTCCATTTGCCAAGGGATGAATGTCGAAAGCTGATGCAGCTAAAACAGTAGCTTCTTCTGACACTCCTCTTGTACTTATTACTGCTTTAGCTTAGCACACGTGTGGTTGAGAAAGGTAAAATAAATACAGGAATGTGTTTGTTTAAATGTAAGCAGCACACAGTGATACTGTTCGTTGGTCTTAATCTTACAAAACTTAGAAAAGCAAACTAACATAAGCCTCAGAGTACAGCAGAAATTGCCAGTGAAGTGAGGATTATTTCTGGTTTGTTTTTGTATACAAACAGGGAAGATGAAGTTGTCACGTGAAATGATCTAATTTCAGTTGCCACTTTTACTTGTGTGCAAGTCACATTTTCACTGCAAAATATCATATATTGAAAGGAAACTAGGATTTAATGCTTTAAAGCAGATTTCTGTGTGGATAGCCTTGCTGCATGTTCGCATATTTTTCCCTCTCCATCATTCATACCAAGATGTTCTATACACCACATGACTGCCTGCCTGTAAGTGCTTTGAATAATTTTATTATGAAACCCAAACAAACTACTTCAGATTTAATTGCAGCCACGAAGATGGAATTCCATGTCCAGGAGGGCACGTGCCCTTTCACAACAGATCCATTAGACACAAAGCGACAGGAATCTGGAAAAGACAGTAAGACTGAGCAACCTAAACATGATGCCTTAGTTCCACAGCCAGCAAAAACAGAGGCTACAGATAAAAAGGATTCACAGAGCAAAGACAGAGAAAATATGCCTTCACCTCTATCAGAACAGATCTTGGAAACCGATTCACAGAAGAAATTGGAAGCCAGTTTTGCAGAACCTCCTGCCAAGCTTCCTATTTCTCAAGTGCAAAAGGACTTGCCATCTGAATTGCCTAAAGGGAGCAAAACAGAAGAAAGGACTGCAGAGAAGCCCTCATCATCCAACCAAGTTCTATCTGTGACATTTAAAGATGACCTTAAAGATGTCCAAGATCTTGCCGTCAGCCGTGATGGAAGTTCTCTGTTCACATCAGAACCCAAGATAGAAGCAGCCAAAAGTGAACTGCCTTCAGACCCATCTCTTGCTATCCCCCAGGATCTTCCCCTCAAAGACAGTGCCAAAATAAAACCTGAACCTGCTGACCAACTGCTTGCCAAAGAACTTGCTGAAGATGAACAGGCCCACAGAGGCATGACCCTAACTCTGCAAGAAGTCTCAACAGTAACTGTAGATGGCCTGAAAACACCAAGCACACAGAAAATCCCTGCATGGGAGCAGGAAAAGGACATGACCAAGGATGAGACTGATGAGGAAGAAAGGTATGACTTCTACGATAAAGGGGAGGCTCGAATATTAGATGATGCTAAATTTACCACAAAGACTGAAGTTGAGACACTTCCCCCACACAAAGCAGACTTCCCAAAGGATGGTGAAACTAAAATGTCTGATCTTTTCAAGGCAGAAAAAGAAATGGACCAAACTGGGCTCCAAGCAACAACGGCTATGAAAAAGGACGTGCAGCCAAGCACAGAGGTATCCCCTGGCAAATTAAGCCATGTGCCGCTCCCTGAGAAAACAACTGAGCACCCTGATACTCCACAGTTATCCCAAATAACAGAGAAGAGCCCTGAGGCACCAAGTTCAACCGCTGATAAGGCTCCTGCTCCAGAACCTTCTCAAGAGAAAGATGTTAAAAAAGAAACCAAGGAGGATAAGGAAAGTGTTTCAGCTACTCATGAAATGAAAACAGAAGTGGATCGATCGGGAATGTCCAAGTATTTTGAAACCTCTGCCCTGAAAGAGGAAGCCTTCAAAACAGACACTCTAAAACAAGGCAGCGATTACTATGAGCTAAGTGACACTAAAGAGAGTGCGTATGAGACTTACCAGGCAGATCGTCTGATACCTGAAGACAAAGAGGAGGAGGAGGAAGAATTACAGATGGAATTGGATCAGCAGCAGAGTATGCCTGCTCGTGAAATAGGGTACAGTACCCTGGCTCAGAGCTATACACCAGACAAATCTGAAGAACCAAGTTCCCCAACAGAAAGAATGTTCACTATTGATCCCAAAGTCTATGGGGATAAGCGAGAGCTCCACAGCAAAAATAAAGATGACCTAACTCTGAGCAGGAGCCTGGGACTTGGGGGCAGATCTGCAATTGAGCAGAGAAGTATGTCTATTAACCTGCCCATGTCCTGCCTGGATTCTATAGCTCTGGGATTTAGCTTTGGCCGTGCACATGATCTTTCTCCCCTTGCATCAGATATTCTAACTAACACTAGTGGGAGTATGGATGAAGGCGATGACTACTTGCCAGCAACCACACCAGCAATGGAGAGGGCCCCTTGTTTCCCCATTGATAGCAGAGAAGAAGATGAGCACACTGAAGAAGAAAAAGCAATGACAGAAGAAAAAGTCCAGCCTGAGACCTTGGTTGAATCGCCTTTCCCAGCCAAAGACTATTACAAAAATGGTGCTGTCTTGGCTCCTGACCTGCCTGAAATGTTAGATTTAGCAGGGACGAGATCCAGAGTAGCATCGGTGAGTGCAGATGCTGAGGTGGCACAGAAGAAGTCGGTTCCTTCTGATGCTGTGGTGGAAGACAGCAGCACTGCCCTGACATCTGTGACAGATGAAAACCATGTAACTCTAAAAGCTGAAAGTCAGCTAGAAGACTTGGGCTACTGTGTTTTCAATAAGTACACAGTCCCTCTCCCTTCTCCAGTGCAGGACAGTGAGAATTTAACAAGTGAAACCTGTCCCTTTTATGAAGGCGCAGATGAAAAATTGAGACGCAGCCTAGCTCCTGACCTGTCTTTAATAGAAGTGAAGCTGGCAGCAGCTGAAAAATCCAAAGAAGAATTCCTCAGTGAAAAAGACTTGACGCAGCATGCGACTGGTGAGTCTTTTCTAGCGAGGGACTTCGAGCAGGAGAAAAAAGAGAAGCTCGATACTGTGTTGGAAAAAAGTGAAGATCAAGCTGACTTTAAAGAGGGCTATTCCATTAAAGATTCAGAGTCAGAGAAGGCAAAACCTGAGGCAGTCTTAGAAATGAAAGAGGAAGCCGTGTCTGATAAAGTTCATGTCCCCGATGATACCACCTACGACAGAATATTAGCTACACAGGTAACAGCAGAAAGAGATGCTATTTCTTTCTTGATGGAGAAGGAGAAGACTCTTAGCGTTGTTCCTGAAATAGCTGAGATAGAAGCTCCAATAAAACCAGACTACAATGCCATAAAGCATGATATGGAAGTGGCTGCCAGGAGAGCTGACCAAGAATATCAGAGTCAGCTAGACAGTAGGATCTGTGAGGTTGATTCTCTCCCTTCAGGGAAGGACAAAGCCCCTGTTAAAAAAACAGAGCCTGAGCCCAAAGAAACTCAACAGAAAGATCAGATCATCTTGTCCAGAGAAGCAAAGGATGCAGATTTACTTTCCAAGACCGAGCCTAGTTATGTGAAGGACAGCACCAAACTGTCTGAAACAGAAATTAAGGAGAAAGTAGCTAAGCCTGATCTGGTACATCAAGAGGCAGTTGATAAAGAAGAATCTTATGAATCTAGTGGAGAACATGATCAAACCCAAGAAAGTTTGAACGGAGAACCCTTGAAGCAGGAGGATATCAAAGGAGAAGCTCCAAAACCATCTGTGTCTGAGGAAGAGGTGTCTACGCAGTTGCCAGCAAAGGAACCTTCCACGGAGCTCCTCCTTCCAAAAGCTGAGCCTCCCCAGGAGGAGCCTGCTGAGATTCAGATGGAGAGCATCCCACAGCCTCCAGAGGAAACTGAAAAGATTCCTGATACAGTTGTGAAACCTACAGAGGTCCAAACGTTGCTGCCATCAGAAGTGACAGCTGAGGCCACAAAAAGAGAAGACCACGAGGAAGAGAAGTTAGGTGGACAAGAAGAGAAAGAAGAGGATAAACATCATCTTGTATCAGAAATACCCCCAGAAATGGACTTTGGGAAACCTACTGATGAAAAATTGCTAGCCAAGGTTTGCCCAGAAGCACTGCCTGAACTGAAAGGCATTATTGAATCAGTCGTGACAGTAGAGGATGACTTTATCACAGTGGTGCAGACAACAGTTGATGAGGGCGAATCTGCTTCTCACAGTGTACGTTTTGCTGCTACCCAGCAGGAAGACATCGAAGCAGTGGACTCCCAGGCTGAAGAGGAGCTGGAGATTGAGGAAGTGGTTGACATTCAAGCTGAGCCAAGGGAGGGCTCCCCAGAAGCTCCTGCTTCACCTGAGAGAGAAGAAATCTTGCTCACTGACTACAAAACGGAAACGTGTGATGATTACAAAGATGAAACAACAGTTGATGACTCCATCATGGACACAGACAGTCTCTGGGCAGATACTCAAGGTGTGCATTATCCTTTTTGTTTTGTGTGTTTAATATTTTTGCTTCCAAACCGTAATGATCAAAAAGCAAAATTATTGTAGCTGTAGTAATAATTTCAGCATGTTTAAAGAATGGTAGAATTGCCTACCTTTTTTTTTTTTTTTTTTTTTTTAATTAATCCATCTGCTCAGTCTTAAATTATTATTTTACCCTGCATCCACTGCAGTATTGCTAACATTTGTTACTAATCTTCTGTTTGTTGTTACAATGTGCTCTGATCCTACAGATGATGATAGGAGCATCATGACTGAACAGTTAGAGACTGTTCCTAAAGAGGAGAAGGCAGAGAGAGAATTGCGAAGATCATCTCTCGATAAGCATAAAAAAGAGAAACCTTTTAAAACTGGGAGAGGCAGGATTTCTACTCCTGAAAGGAAAATAGCTAAAAAGGAACCTAGCACACTCTCCAGAGATGAAGTGAGAAGGAAAAAAGGTTCATTTAACACTCCCTCTTACTATATATATATATATTTAATTTTTTTTTGTAGTATCGTGCAGTATCGTTAGGTTACTCTGTTGTAGTTGATGTGCATCTTAACACTATTATGTGCGGTGCTATTTAATGAGACACTGCACAGTTATGTGAAAAGCCATGTGCAAGGCTCACTGCTCCACCAGTCTCAGTTCAGGAATCCCCACAGAGTTTTGGGAAGCACATCTGAGATGAATGATCAGTGCTCCCGTCTTCCAACTTAGCTTGGATCACCTCAGTAGAAACACTGCTTAGAGCTGCAGTTGTGGAGCAGTGGGCCTGCCACTTGATGTACTGTATGAAACTTTGCTGTTTTTTTCCTGATTATGTGTTTTTGTGTTTTCTTGTCCATAGCAGTGTATAAGAAAGCTGAACTTGCTAAAAAAACTGAAGTTCAGGCCCACTCTCCCTCCAGGAAAATCATTTTAAAACCTGCTATCAAATATACTAGACCAACTCATCTCTCCTGTGTTAAACGGAAGCAGACAGGTGACTGCATTCTGTTCAGTTATGCAATGTGGCTGGCAAACATAGACTTTTTTTTTTAATCTCATGGCTATAGCAGCTTTTCTCTTTTTTAGTTATTATTCCTCCAAGACTATCTTCACAAATAGTATTGCTTTTTTCATTTTTTTTTAATCATTTTTTTTTTCTTTCCTGGTATTTGTTTATTTAAAGGAGGTCATGATCATGTGTGCTTGTCATTGCTTGGACTTCCAATGCTGTGGTTGTAACTTGGCATCATGCTTATAGTGTGTTGTTCTAGGAGTTTGCTCACCATTTTCTTCTTTTGTTTCCTTCTTCTTTTCTTATGCCTTTTTTTTCTGGTGGGAAAATGTTGACAGCTTAAACCATGGTATGCATTTCCATTATTTTGCTTTACTCTCCTGCATAATAAGAAGTGTTTCAGACTTGTATTTTGTTGATCGATGTTATCTGCCTTTACACTTTCCACTCTGTTACTGATGTTTATGCTGTACAGTCAAAATCCACAGGGGAAATCCATCCACATGCAGCATGAAGCTGAGAGAGAAGGAATCTGGACTCACACTACAATTGCATTTCAGTCAAAAAATTAGTATTTGGTAGGGGAAAGTGAACTAAAGTTTAATATAGATTAAAACAACTCTTTTTCGATATGTTTTACTATTTACAGCAGTTACAACTTCTTGTATTCTTGCAAAAGACCAGAGGGAGGATTCAGTAAGTGTTGGAAATGGGGAGTTGATTGTTCATGTCACAAAAAGCGTGTTGGCTTTGTAGCATTCTAACTCTGACTGCATTTCTGCAGTTATGTGGTCAGTGCTGTCTTGCCTTCTCATACTCTAACTCTTCTCAACTATTCTGGCCCAGCAGCATCTCTCAGACCTGAGTCATCCCAGTAGACTTGCATAACAAAACCTGCTCAGTGCCTTGAGTGAATGTGTGCTGCCTGGCAACAGTCAAAGCTTTTTTCTTCCCCTCTTAATAAGTAGCGTGGCAGATGTATTAAATGAAGTGAGAAATGTAAAGCAAGAATGACATCTCATTACTTCTAAACACAGAGATAGAATCAAAAACAAAACAGAACAACAACAAAAAAAGGGACTCAGATTGGTCATAAAATTCACAGTGATGTTGATTTGGGCTCTAAAGCCAAACGGTATGCCACAAAGTGAACAAAAATATCTGTAAAACCGTTTCACCATGCTCACTGTTGCTGGAAAACTCAGTTATCCCTTATTGTCTTCTACCTCCCCTCTTTCTGCTTAATGAGGGGAGTTGAAGAGACACCACGTGCAAGTTTGTCATATAGCAGCACTGCACACCAAGAGTGTAGGCACCATATGTTAACACACATATCCCTGAGCCTAAACCAGTCGTTCAGTTCTTTCCAGGATCAGGAACTTAGAGGGGCATTGTTTCACTCATGTTTTCTTTTATGTAAAACATGGCACCGTTTCTTGAAGCCAGTTTCAGCTGTCAGTACATCCTATTTGGACTGGTCCTCTCAACTTGTTTGATGCTTGGCCAATGGGGTCCCACCAAAACACTGCAGTCTGTGCACCTTAAGTAAATTCCAGTTAGTTAAAACCTCAGTGTTGCCTTTTCTGTGTCTTCAAAATGAAACACATCCAACCATAAGATACAAGAGTCCATAACAGGAAGTTAGTATTTGCTCAGATTTTCTACATAGTGGGCCAGGAAATTAAGTCATTCTGTTCCTCTCAATAACAGAAAAGAAAATTCCCGTGTCACCGTGAGGTAAGTGCTGACAAATGCTGGTAACGTATACTGCCATATTTTCCAAGGAAGGACTGTTGATTGAGATTCATCCTTAACATTTGAACAAGAAACTGTGTGGCCAACTCCAAGGAAATCTTTGAAATTGAAATCTTTGATGTTACTGATGTAGTTATGCGAGGGAAACCCCGCTTTGACTCATGCTTTGTGGCTGTGAGTTGCTGCTGCTGTTGTGCCATCAGAGGCATGGTTTTAGGGCAAGGCCAGGCCAACTGCTTGGCTATGAGCAGGAGTCAGCACGCGATCCACTTCTGTTGCAAGTCTTCAGTTGTGCTGTCCCTTAAGAGGTAAAAGATGCTTGTTCTGTACTTAAACTGCTAGCAGACACGTAGAGATCTTTTGTTCAGATGGACAAGTTGTGGTGCTATCAGGTAAGTCAGCAGGAGCAGCACAGCTATGATGGCTGTGTGATGGCTGATTAGGTCTCAATACCAAAGGAAGGAGGAAAGATATAATTTGTGATTATTTTGAAGAGATGCAGAACTGACCAAAGCCAGCCATAGCGGATAGGGTAAAATGTGATACTGAAGGACTATGCTGCACTTATCACTGGTACAAATCCAAAAGTATAGTATGTAGCTATACGTTTTTTTTCCTCCTCATAAGCTTTCTTTCCTACTTGTTCAGTTTAGAAGGAGATTATTCTAAGAGGACCCAGCTACTGAGTGGGATGTGTGGCAAGAAACCAGAAATCCCCTCGCCATGCTTAGAAACTGCACAGAGAGAGGAGAAAGTTGAATGTCTCCGTCCTGTACAATGTGTTAGGGCTGCTGTAACAGCCCAATCCTGTTGGGATTACTACTAGAGGATGTCATGTATGCCCACTGTCTTGCTTCTGCATTTTCCAAGGATCCCTGTGGCAGAGATGCCTAAGGATTTGATATCTAGATAGATTTTAGGCAGTGAATTACTTCTAGAACAGCATCATCAGGGTGAAACTAATAGCCTGCTTTCTGAAAAGCTCCCCTATTCCACGACTTTGTAAGGATGGAATCCGACCCAGAGAGGAAAATCTTAAGCTATATTGCATCAGAGAAATGAAATAGTGAATTAATATACTTGATGTCCCAGGTGTAATTTGAATGCTAAAGTGTGAGAGCTTGGTTGAGCTGTGACGCACTGACCATAGTGGCTGACCGCACTGACCATCCAACTGGGATGGTAATTCACCAGACAATCTCTCTCTTTCCAACTGGAATTTTGGCTAGTATTTTAAATAGGGGTGATTTCAGCGTCCTTTATTTAGAAATTTTCATTAGTGGGTTACTTAAGGGAGCCTGATTTTTACAGGACAGTTGTTCAGTGCTCTCTGAAGATCAGTTGGTAAGGGGTATCTTGAGATGAACCTTCGGAACTAGAGCCTCTTTTAGTTGGCCTTGGAACTTTTTACTGTGATTCTTAGATCTCCAGGTACGTGAATACAAAAGCTGGATTTCTTTGACATATGTAAAGTACAATTTTAACTCAAGTGCAATGAATATAAGACATTTTTAGGATGAGTTCACTGAGACATATTCACAAGATAATTGCTTTGCATTGTAGTTCCAAGGTATATGAGCGTTCTAACAAGTTTGCTAAGTGGAAATGCTTATTATTGCTGTTATTTTTAACCATCAAGTCTTTCTTTGGGTCTCTCAGCAGCAGTTGGTGAAACAAACCAGGCTCCTGGTGTATTTAAACAAGCAAAGGAAAAACTCTCAGTGAGTAAAATCATCTTATTGTCTTTCTTAATAATCCTCCTTTGTGCTCATTTCAGATCATTTTGTGTTAATTCAGTTCTTCATTTTTTCCATTTAGAAATTGTTTTCCATGTTCGTTATTCATTTAAAAGGGTAATTAAAATCACCTTTCCTGGATAACAGTGCCAACTAGCTCTGAATAACCGTCCCAGAGAGTAGATGATGACAATTTGCAGATGTAGAAAGGCATACAGGCTCCAAACTGCAGGGACTGGATGCTATTCAGCACTTTGAGCCAGGTCATCCTCTGGGATAACCTGTGTCCCTTGAACCTTTCCACAGTACACAACTCAGTATACTGACACCTTGCTTGATTGCTGCCTAGGCAGAAACCCTCGTCCAGGTCTCACTAGATGTATTCTGATACACTGTTAACTTATCTGTGCATTCTGTGACTGTCATACCTGTGTATAAATGATGGACCAGTAGCATTTTGTATGTGAATAAGAGCTTCCTACTTGACTGTTGTGGACTGCTAATTTCTGTGTTTTAACCTGACAATTACGTGTCCTGTCTTTAGCTGCTCTGCAGCCTGTACTGCTTTCTGCATTTACTTGTTGTCTGTTGAGTGCCTCTCTTCCTGCTCCCATGCTGACCTGATGCTCTTGTCCCACCACTCTAAAATCCCCAGGAAACCAACCTTCCTTCACTATCCCTTACGCAGATCTTTTCTACACGACACTGACACGTGCTGACTTACATCTGCAGCACAAACCTTTGTCATTGTTTGCCATCATTCACAGCACATCAGTTCCTTAGGATTATCCTCTATTTCCTACTGTATTCCATGGCTGATTTGTTTCGCTTACCTAACCAGATTGTCATTTCTTTGGGAAGCTGTCTTCAAAGTGCTACATGTTGCTTATTAGCTGCAAGAAACAATTAATGATGATAGCAGCATAACTGATCTGAGGCTGTGAAGGAGTGGTGAAATTTAGAAGCCATGACTAAATTCCAGTCTAGGATTTCATGTGATTTTAGAGGCCTGACTCATTTCAGCTTACGACTGGGAAACTGCTAGAACTTCTTTACTAGTTCTATAGGAAGATTTTTAGTCTTAGTCAACAGTTACTGTCTTTTCTCAGAGGGACAATAAACACTTATCCAAAAGAAGTCAATACTAGCACATTTTCAGACTCGTCTGTTTTCATGGAGGGCTTTAAGGACAAGCACAGCAAAACCATTCTCTGAAATGATCTGCTTTCTGGGCACCTTTCTTACCCTGTCTTTTACTCTGTGCCAAAGATCAGAAGTTTAGTCCCTGCTTACCTTCTCTCCCTGTTGCTTCCCTACTCTGATTACTATCTTCACTCTTCTGGATGTTTTCTGTTATACGCCTTGTCCTCTCTTTTCTTGTTGTTGTCCTTTATTCCTGATTTTCAGCTTCTTTATTGTTCAAGTGCAGCCTTTTCTTCTCCACTGGTAATGTTGGATCATCCAACCCAGTCAGTTTGTTATGCACCTTCAAACTGCACTTCTCTTACTCCTTTGCGTAAGAAATTCAGGAAAGGCTTCACAGTTCCATCTGCTGGAAGGAGCTGTATGCCCATGTTTGTGAGATACTGACCATGCCTTAGGAGAGCCTCTGAAATAAATTGCTTCAGCAATCCCTGATTTACTGAGTCTTCATCAACTTCAAGGTGACATAGGTCTTTTTCCTGTGGACAGCTGGCAGGTCCTACAGTATGAATTATAGCAGTTGTTAAAGGTAATGTATTGCTAGAGTAATGAGAATAGCTCTCTGGGTAAAGCACAGGCAGAGACTGAAGTATTTGGTTTCTTTGCTTGCTCTGCCAGTCTTGAGCATCTCACCAAAATCCGTCTGGACCAGATTGGGCTACTATAACTGATGTTAAAAAGTGCCTGCCAAGTGAGGGGATCCAGGCTGCAGTAAGCCCAGAGCAGTGTATTAGTTGAGGATCACATGTTTTCCCCAGGTGTTCTATTGAAAGATCTCGGTCTTGTCCAACTTCAGTATCCTCATTAGATGCACAAATTTGTGGAGGACAGTATTCAGTATGAGTGAAAAGGATGGGGTCTAGAATCTAAATCTGAAAGGATTTTCCAGTTTTGTTGGAGTCTTGTTGTGCGTGATCATCAACTTGAGAAAATTTGGAAATGACTGAATTAACATTTGGGCCTGCTTAGTTATATCCCAAATTCAGAAAATCTGGTGGACATTACTCACATGTCTGCTTTTTGGAACCGCCCATGACAGCTGTGCTTTCACATCAATAAAAACCTTAGTGTTCTTATAAGTAAGAGACCAAATTTTCTCGAGTGGATGGTACCTCTAAACTGAACTGTTACAAATCAGTTAAAGCCTGAAGAAGCCCTTGTTGTGACAGAGACACATAGTGTTCAAATTCTGTTTAAAATAATTATTTTTAATATTAAGAGATAAATACGTTGCAAAGTTCATGCTAGTAATACATTCTTTCAAGGAAAGCATTCCCATCCTTTGATCTGGTTTCTGATCTTGGTTAATAGAGCTATTGGATGTGGATGGTGATGTCCACAGCTTTGAAGTCCTCAAGGCTTTGTAGTAGGACTGGAATTATGCAGTTCTGAAGCTCTTAATCACGTGGATTAGTACATAAGCACTATTAGCACATACACATACATTCAGCATCCCAGCTTCCATTTTCCATAGGCTAGATACATAGCCTAAACTAGATGCCATTTTATAGTGGCCTGAACAACTCTAAGTGATGTTTCATCCCACTTTCATCTCATTTTCTAAAACAAAACAAAAAGAATAAGTAAACCAACTTGAGGAGTAATTCGTGCACTTTTTCTGAACGTTAAGTCTAGATGACTGACTTAGATCAAATGCCAAATTTTTCTTGGTGTAGTTCTCTACCAAATTCCAGGGGGACTGCTCTGATGAGTAACTTCACGCTTGTGTGAATACAGGTAGAATCAGGACTCCATTGCCAAGATAACAGCCTTGCAATTGTTCTTTGTAGTATCAGTTACAGAAGAAAGCAAAGTGTTGCCTGGACAAATAGCCCTATTCTCTTTCAAGGGAGTTTCTTTTGGTGGAGCAGCTGGATGCTCCTAAGCATCGACAGAGAATTTGCTGTCTACTCTGTTGATGTCTAATTGTTCTTTCAATGGAATATTAGCATTATTAAGAATTAGAGCAGTATCTGATCATGATGACGCATCTTGTCAGCCTTCCAAGCACAGAAAACTTTCATCATCCCAGAACTCCACACTGTCAATACAGTTTTACATTCAGGATCTTTGTGTGTATGCAGTGGCATAAGAAGCACTGCTGTTAGATCCTTCTGACATCTTGGGAATACTGGTGTATTTTCAAGATTCCCACCGTTTTACTCGAGTGTAGCCTGGAGGGCTATATTACAAATGCACAAGTTACTTTTAAAAGGCCAGGGCATCATGGTGTGCCTGTAGTTTTGCACTTGTTTCTAACGAAGCCAGCAGTTGTACCAGCTAAGTGCCATGCCTGGTACAAGTTCTTGTTTAATAACACATGGAAAAAATAGCATTTGCACAAAAAGGCACCCTCTAGAATCAGTAAATCTCTCCAGACACAGATGGTTTCAGTGGAACAACAGAGATCTAAAACTCTGCCTGTCAGAACTGCATAATCACCGTTACTAGACACAGGAAAATAATTAATTCATTGCTTGGCATTTTATTTTGGTCCATGTTGCATGTGTTTTTCTTTTGTCCAGCTTCATGTTGTGTTTTCTTTTGTTTTCTTGTGACTAGACTGCTTCTTTGTCAAAGATTCCTGCCTCAAAGTCTAGAGCAAAGTCATTGCTTCCTCCAAGACCCAGCTCAGCTTGCTCACTAACTACTAAAAGGGCCACTTTTCTCGATACAGACAGTTATTATGTACGGCCCTCCTCAGCAGGCCCAAGAGACTGCTTGTCCTACTCAAAATCAGATGCTAAGGTAAGGTAGCAGAGTTGGTAGAGAGAGTGAGCTTGGAGATGTGTAGGTAAATTATGTGGATTACATTCTCTCCCCATTGCGTCTGAGTAATTATCTGTGAAGTTTACCTGGAATTAATTACATCCAGTGGCAGGAGAATTGATTACCAGCCTACAAGATTTGTGCTACAAAGTGGATACGTACAAAGCAACGTCTCCAGAGGAAACGTAAGCAAAATAAATAATTAGCAGGTCATACCTTCTTTCTGTTGGTTATGGATGTTATTTCCTTGACTGCTAAGAAGTTATGCCCATTTTGCACATGGGTAAGTGGCAAAAACAGTAGTACTCATTTATCCTGCAGGAAAAGTTTTAAAAAAGGAATTTTCGACCAGTTAATACTTTCTGAAAACGAATTCAGTCCCCATGGAGGAGGGTGCCGTTCTTATCACCTTTAACAAGGGCAGAAGCCAAATTCTTTGTACGTGGGACCATGCTGAAGAAGTTGCAGTTCATTCTAGCTTCCCCATGTTTACTTTTCACTTGCACTGCAAATCTATCTGATGCTGAGTTGGTGACTGTTATGTTGTGTAAAAGCTGTTTTCACCATGCATAGTGTGTCTCATACTGTTTGGGACCATCGTTACATTTAATCATCATCAAATCATACATCACCTAATAATGTGGTGTGCGGTGCATCTGTATTGCAGTTACATTGCAGGTGAATTCCCATGAAAATTTGACACCTGAACAGCAGAAGTGTTCTTCTACTTCTGATTTGTACTAAAACAATACACCAACCAAGTCAATTCCTCATTAACAACCAGACAAGGAACCTGTCCATGTTTAGATCTAGGAGTATCTGCGTCTGTCTTAAGTAGCTCAGAAGCTTTTGTGTTGTTGAAAATGCTATCTATGATGGCTTCAGGGGAATTAGTTCACAATCCAGTACTCCACTAGCATCCTCTGCAGTCACTGAGAAATATAGGTTTAATTTCAGTAGGAGTAAAATCAGCCACTGATACATGCTTATTCAAATCCATAGGAAGAGAAAGCTTTGTCTGCTGCAGAGGGAGGGTTTATCTTGAAGTAGCTACAGTGAGATTGGCAAGCTACCACATTTGGGGAACTTGGAGGGAGCTCTCTCCCCAAGAACAAAGTTCTGTCCACCTTGGGCACCAGGGGCAGCCCCCTCCTATGAGTGTTTTCATGCAGTAAAGAAGCACCAAGGAGCTAATCAGAGCATGGGAAGTGGCTAGATCCTCACAGCTTCCTGTGTCCTTAAACTGTATCAGTAGGATGAGCCTTCCCCTTTGTGTATAGGTTGAGAGAGATTACAATCCAGAGCGTGATGTTTTGAAAACTAAACCTTCCTTTCTTATTTTGCTGCTATTAGGATGGAGTAAGCAAGAGTCCTGAAAAGCGTTCCTCTTTACCAAGACCTTCCTCCATCCTTCCTCCTCGAAGAGCTGTATCAGGAGATCGAGACAGGGAGGAGAACTCTCTCTCCCTCACAACATCCCTCTCTTCTTCAGTACGACGGACCACCCGTATGTTTTTGGTGTTTTTTTTTCTTGCATATTAGCCCTTTCCTGCTGCTGTGGATGTCTGCCACTTAAAGAAGGCAATACAAAATATTCTAAGAAATCTTGGAAAAGTGAATCTAATAGTTAGGATAATTAATTTGTTGTTTCGTAGCGGTGATCTTCCTGTGTTCTACTCTAGTCCTGGGGCAAAAGCACCCTCAAATGAGATGAGAAGTCAGATAGTAGAGTGACTCACTGGGGGAAATTGGGATAGTAAAATAGCAAGGTCTTTTTGTGAGGACTCATTCTATCAATTCACAGTCTGAAAGAAACTCCAAGGCAAAAAAATAAGTACCAAATATTCCCAAAACTTTTCCCTGGATTTGCTTTTAGTGTACGCCTCATAAACTGGATGTGATTTCCTGCTTTTCGGTAGGCATTCATCTGGCTTTAGAAATCAATTTCTTCCCTTTATAAGAGAGCCTAAGGAAATGGATCATTAAATTCAATTAAAAAAAAAAAAAAAAAGTCCTTTGAAATTCTTGAGTGATGCCCTAAAACAGAGGCCCTCTGTATGAAGAGTGACCTCTGCCTGGCACAGCAGCTCATTTTGCTGACGAGGAGCAAGAGGTTATCTGGTATTTGCCAATGTGGTTGGAGTGCTGAAGAATGAAAAACAAAATACCAAAGCTGCAGAGCTGGAAAAAAGAAGAATTTCCTTTCCATCTCATTAAGACTATCTAGTTAGGATTGGTTGGGAAAAGAAAGAAACCATTCAGGGAAACTGGAAGTGAAAGTGGAGTATGTTTGATCTATCAGATGAGTCACACACTGCAAAGAGTTTTTCCTGGACACTAGGAGCAGCAGTGCATTGGATTTGCTCCATCAACACTAAATAAACAAACAGAGTGTTTAATGAATCTAATGCAATTTTGATGAGTCTCACTTCTCTAGGGAGGCCTACTTGATTGGTAATTTCTGATCATTTTAAAGGTGAAACACATATGTACCCATTCAGTGTTGGGGTTCCTGGGCTTTGGGGGTTGGTTTGATCTTTCTCTTCCTTGGTAGTCTTAGGAAAGCCTTGCTTTAAGCAGCTTGTGAAGATGTCTCAGCTTCTGTTCATTTGCCCCTGAGAGTTACATGTAAAGGTGGCAGCAGAAAGTGCAGTCCCACTACTAATTCTTGCCCTCAATGGAAAGGACAAGTAACGCCATTAAAAGGGGAATGAAGCTGCTAAAAAATGTTACGGTATTCATTTATTTATTAACTTGCATGCAGATGTTGCTAGACCGTGATTTTTAATCAATTTGCTTTTTCACTTCACTACTGAAAAATAGCAATCGAACATGAGGGACATCTGCCTGTCCACACAACAGAGCTATTACTTGTTCATCAGCTGAGTACTTGCCTAGGATAGAGTTGAAGAGGCTAGACTACCACAAGTCGTATGTGAACAGAAGCAGCCAGGCATTCAGAGCCTAGAGTTTCAAGATTACAGACTTTTCACGACCCTAGTTTAACCTCAAATCTATTGAAACTGATGACAGCATTCCTACTGATGAGTCAGACTGTCCGATCAAGCCCTGAAGGTTGGATTCAGATGGTGCTTCAGTTCTTTTCCTAAGAGGGAAATTGGTGTGTTGATATTGTGCCTTTTATAATGAGCTCTGCAGGAAGCATAGGCTCTGTGGGCAGCACATCTGTATTGCAACGTGGAGAGCTCAGTCATTGTGTGGGTGATTTATCAGACCAGCCACACGTGTCAAAGTAACTCCAGCAGGGTTGATTAGCAAAGGAGATGCAGAGACAGACACCAGTCTGCTGTTTACAGCTCCAGCTGACAGCCGTCTCAGAGCTCTGTCTTGTGTGGCAGACAGGGTTGTAGTCTTGGGAAGCATGGAAGGAAGAAGAGCTTGTATTTCTAGGTTGAAATGATGTTTTTTTTCTTGCATGTAGGATCAGAACCAATTCGTAGCAGAACAGGAAAAAGTGGAACTTCTACTCCCACTACTCCTGGCTCCACTGCCATTACTCCAGGGACACCACCAAGCTATTCTTCCCGTACACCAGGCACTCCAGGGACACCCAGCTACTCCAGAACCCCACATACTCCTGGAACCCCCAAATCTGCCATACTGGTACCTACTGAGAAAAAAGTTGCCATAATTCGCACTCCTCCTAAGTCTCCAGCAACTCCAAAGCAGCTGCGAGTTATTAACCAGCCTCTACCTGACCTCAAGAATGTCAGGTCCAAAATTGGATCAACAGATAACATCAAATACCAGCCTAAAGGGGGGCAGGTAAGGATTTCAGTCTGTGTTTTCATCTATATGTGATTTAATCTCACCTTTTGGGTTGGTATGGGGCAGGAGCCATTTTAAGTTTCCTTTCAAATGCTACTTCTCTTGTCACTGCCTTCTACGTTGGTTGCTAAAGTGATGTTAAATTGCAGTGATCCGGACTGTATTCAGAAAATCATCTCCACAAAACTGGAACAGTACCTCACTGAGATCAGGGGAGAAGTTTCCAACAAGAGCTTGCACTCTGTGTCACAGATACATTTCAGTATGACCCTCACCAGTTTTTGCTTCCTTAGTCTTCAACAGCACCAGAAAATTAAGGAAGTTAGCTTTAATTCAGGCAAGTTCAAATTCAACCTAGACAGATTTTAGCAGGATTGCACAGCACCATGACCTTTCCCTGTGTCATTTTGCATGACTTAAGCACTGTGTTGAATGATGTAAATGAATTGCAGCCTCCAACCTGGTAAATCCACCCCAAATTAAAGATGATGGGAGGGCACAACTTAACTGTTCATTCCAACTACTTCAGGGTTGGAATAAGCAGGCTCAGGTCTCACATAAGCTGGAGAAGGCATGTACATGAAGAAAAGATGAATGCATAAGAAGGTAAATCAGCATTTTCTGTTCTTGCTGTCTGAAAGCATATGAATTCAGAGATGTTTTGATGCAATTGAAAGTTGAAAAATGAGAGAATGTTTCATACCTTGCATAGTTGTTACCCCCTGAAGCACATGATCATAAAGATTGCTGTCAGCTGAAGACTGATAATGTGTATGATAACAAAATCCTTGTTACTAGAGACAGAACTTACTGAATGTTGAAAAGGACAGTGAAGACGTAGACTTTTCAGGTGAGCAGGAGCTTTTGGAGACTGAAGAGACAGAGAATACCATAAATTTTCCTATGTTATGATTTTTATGCCTTCTCCTGAAGAGTATCTGCCAAACAGAGCGATGGGCACAGCTAGATTAGCCTTCTCTCATTTTCAGGCAGTGCAGAATTGGTATCGTGCGTGGCATTAAAACACAAAATTCTGTTCAAGAAAACAGGCTTTCTGCTTGGAAGAACATTTGTTCTAGCTTACAGGACGAAGCAGTCCATTTTATTAATGTTTAAATGGCTGTAAACCCATTTACAACCTAAAAGAAATCCGATTTCATTTAGAAACAAAGAGGCTGAATGAGAAGGAGGAAAAATAATATAACCTATCAAAACTTAGGCTAAAAAATGCAGAAAACTCACCCTTATGGCTGTAAACAATTTTGTTGATAAACTTTTTGTAAAAAGTTCTTGTTCATTTTATATCGATTGAGGGCACAACCCCACCACAAAAACAGCCTGTGTCCCCAGCTCTCTTACTTCCCTGAGACTTCTGAGTTACAGCACTGGCAATCTGGGTGCTTTCTGGGCAGGTCCACCTCTCAGCTACCTGCAGGGACAGGACAAGTGTGATAAACACGCTCCCCCATTCAGCTGTCCAGAAGATAAGACATTCTAAAAAGCTGGGTTGCACAGTATTCCCAGATCAGATACTTCTGTAAATTTCTGAGTTTTGGAATACATTGTGGAAGATACACAACAGTTAGGTTGCCTAATGCTGCATCCAAAACAATAAAGAAACTGAATTAAAAAGGAAAATTGCTATACTGCGTTTACTGCAGGTCTTCCAGAGAAAAAAGCAGGCTCATATATTAAACAGTAAGGTATCCTTTAAGCGTGGATCCTGTTTTCATCAGTAAGTCAACACATTCAATGTCTTCTGGGATTTGGACAGTAGCAGTTTACTTAGATAAAGTCCAGAGATCATGCCTCTGCATTGGTTGCCTTGATTTTGCTAAGTGTCTGTGTAGTTATTTTGCATGGAAGTCCAACGCCCACCTGACATGCTGCATAGCAGATAGTCAAGCTGCAGAGGGGTCTGGAGGACATCTTCAGGTAGTGCTTCTGGATTCGTATGCTTTGCAGCAAGTTCAGCTGCTGGACATGGGGGCTCAAAACCACAACCATGTTTGCCTGACCTCCTTTCTTCTAGTCTCTGTGGACCACAAGAGCAGTACAAGACTAAAGAACCAAGTGAACTGTATTTAATTGTAAACACCATGCCTGGACAGCTTAGCAGTTCTGTGGAGTTGTACAGTCTTTTCTGGATAGTGAAGAATGTCCCAGGTTTTGGTACTTCACATTTTGGGGGATCACAGGTGAAATCTCCTGCCTGCAGACACACTGTCACAGAAATGAAAGAATTTTTTAATTCCCTCTGGTCTCAGGCCACTGAACTGGGCAAATGGAGAGCCGATGACTTTTTACTTTATGTCTCCCTTTATGCCATCGTTCAGTCTAGACAAGTGGTTTCAGGATTAATTCTTTGCCAGTATGTGCAATTGAATTTTATAGGGTCTGTTTGAGGAACGTATAAAAGCTAATTTAATTTCCTTCTGTCTTCTCCCTTCTTTTAATGTCTGGTGGCAAATAGTGCGCTGGCTAAAATGAGCTGTTATCTACTATCTGCTTTTAGTGATGATACATGGAACAAACAGAAAGCTGCTCAGTTTTTATAACCTGAACTGAAAGTGCTGATAGCAGTAACCACAGGAAAAACTAGCAGACAAAAAGCCAACATACATCTGAGCAAGTTAAGCACATAAACATGACATGCAAATCACTAAAGAAATACAGATATGCAACCCAGCAGTGTCATTTGGAGACAGACTATGCTTTTACCAGAGGCATATCTTAACCTAGCACAAGGTCTTTTCTTAGCTCACAGCTGTCCTAGAGAAAGCAGCCGCACTGTGAAACCACCAGAGGCTGAGGTGCAGAACTGAAGTAGCAGGGGAGGTTTGAACGCTATATAAATCACGAAATGCAGTGCTTCAGCCTGGAATTTCATCAAAAACTCATCAGCTAGCAGTTTGACTTGAATTCAGCTTTGATTTGCCAACCACAGAAAGAAAGGAAAGGAGAGATATTACTCCACCTTACAGAAAAGAAAAAAAAAAGAAAAAGCAAAGAGCACATTTCTAGTGGGAGAAACAAGCAAACACCGCTCTGCATTGTGTTCCTAATAGGAATAGATGGCTTGAGATATGTTCAATTGCTATTCTGTAGTCTGGAGAAATGAGGGTTTCTCCATTTGGTGTTGCAGCCAGGAGATCGTTATCTGGTTTTCTCTTTGTAGTAAAGTATGGTGAAATGTTATCATTCTTGGCAAAGCTCGGAGTCAACTTGCTCATGGGTATGTCTGCTGGGCTTCAGATGGATTTTAGCACTGCATCAGCTGAGGAGGAAACACTGTGCTTTCAAAAGCAACCCATTTGCATCTGTTATTTCTCAGACAGCCCAAGGGAGGCATGGGGAGAACTGGGGGAAGGGCTGGAAATGTGTTTCACATGCCAAGACTTTGGTTTTGCTTTTCTGTTCAGACTTTCTGTCATCTTGAAATTATATCTATGAGTGCTGTTTGTACACAGCAGCATACAAAAGTGCAATTAACTCTTCATTATGGACCAGGCAGCGTATTTATAAAGCATTACAAGCTAGCAACCAAGGAGAGAGCCAACTTAGATTTCTTTTAACTTAATTCTGAGAGGTATATATAAAATTGAAACTATGAATGAGAACTTTGAGTAGTTGTCAATCAGCAGAGCTCCATAAAAGCACACGGAGTTGTACAGACTGGAATGCAATAAATAAGGTCTAAATTATCACTAACTACACTAACAGCCAGGCACCTTGTAGGGAGTAGGATGACATATTAAAATGAAATACCTCAGCCCTGTTGGAGAATGAATTGCTCCTTAAATGTTTTTAGAGAGATTAAAGGGAGTATTTGTACTATTTTCTGGAGTAGATTGAAGGTACCAGGACACAGATTTCTCTAACAGCCTGAGTCATTCCATTGGCAAGTTCAGCATGGCCAGCATTTTCAGCAGAGCTCTGAGTTGTCTAGATTTTGGCAACAAAATGGAGAAGGTGGTTCTTATTGGAAAAATGTTCAGGCAGTACACAGTCTGGATTCAAGCTGTTTAGTCATACCATAGTGTTCTCTCTTGCACGGTAAAGTGAAAAAAGAATTCATTTTGCTAGATGGGAAGGAACAGAAAAGGAAAGGATAAAAACCTTGTTTTTTATCTGGAAACTTTGGATTTGGAAAAGAGATGCTGGGGGACAAATCTGGTCAGCTTTGGGAAAATTGACTTCCATGAAGACATAAACACAGGGTGTTTTTTTCAACTTGAACTGAACAACGTAATTTTCTCCATTATGCTGGAGTAAAGAAAACTCAGGCATTGCAACTCAAAAATGATTCCTTAAGGCTGTGGAACTGATTTGCAAACTTTGATGCTTGATGGCTTGTTACTTCATTTTTGAAGTTATTAGCATCCCTTCAATTATTAGCAACTGTTCCTTCTAAAAATTAAGGACTGAACTCTCTGGTTTCAGAAAAATCTGTTTTGCTGTGGGTTTGTTTGTGGCTTGGTTTTTCTTTTTTTCTTTTTTTTTTTCCAGTTAGGGCAGTACTGAAGCAGCAATCTATGGGATCCTGGGTTTTAGCTGAATTAATTTTGCTCCCAGGATTTTTTTTACTTGGCGTACCTGAATCAGTTTCTTTTGCCATCCGGTTCATCATTTGCCCAGATTTAGTGAGTAGTATGATTACAGAACAGTTGTTATATTTTATCTGTCTCCAATCTTGCTTTCTTGAACGCTCAGTTAAGAAGCCTTTTTGTCCCTTGACTGTAAGCTCTTCAGCATGGAAAACTGTCCATTTGCCTTGTTCCCCAGCACAGTTATGCAAAACATCTCAGTGTTCCTGCATCACAGTCATGCAACCAGACCGAGGCCTGCCTTGCTAGGTGTTAGATTTAAAGAGAAAATTCCAGTTTCTGTATCAGTTGTTAATTTATGAGAGAGAAATGTTGGTTTTTTTCTGTGTGATAACTATGAAAACAACATCTAAAGCAAATCTGTGTGCTTGGGACAATTAGCAACATGTA